ATGGCATGGCATGAATATTAGAGGCCTGCCGGCTACGCATTCGGTAATAACAGTACTATTTTGTGACGATTTGAAAAGCTGTGCAGTTTTTTTTGCACAGTAGCATGTTTTCACTTTTCTCTGTTTGTGGCGCAATTTTTGCACCCGTGTAGTGCATTTTAGCAGATCATGCAACTTCAATTAGCACTTAAATAAGAGCAAATGGAAACTGGCATGCAACTAATGCGATTTATTCTTGCTCAGCATTAAAAAGTAGCCAAAAAAAAGGAAAAAATCGAATAAACGACCTCGACAAGGTCATTTCTCATACGATCTGCATTGACAAAACCTTTCGCAACATGTACCTGGTTTCTTTGCCTTTCTCCTTCAATGGAACTCCTCATGATTCATATGCAGGAAAACCCGTTATTTGCGAACATTATTACGGTAACAAATGCTATTTTGCCTCGAAAGGATGAAAGTTCTTTTCCTTTCGCATGAATAAGAAGCAACTTGCGTGTTTAACGAAATGCAGCAAAAACTGTTTTGTGCTGTCGAGTCAATTAAAACGAAAAAAATAACACGTTAATAGAGCTGTAACGTACTTGGAAGTGAACAAAAGCTAAAATAACTTGTTCGAGTTATTGAAGAACTTACTTTAGTCAATAGTTTCCGCGAACTTACAGCGATTTCTTAAAGTGAAAACTCTATAGCCAGAAGTTATTACATTGCATTATTGTTGAATGCACTGGACTTAATCTACAATTCATTCAAGATTTCTTCAAAATCCGCTAATTAAAATTTTACAAGCAACAAAAAATAGTTAATTTCTTTGATCATTTTACTGATGAGTTAAAGTGCGGAAAAGTTACAGTAATTTAAAATAAGACAGTTAGATGGCTAAATATTCAAAATAATTTACCACTATATTTTTATTAAGTGCGCACTAGGAAATAATCATAACACCTTCTCATTCTGGATCGGACATTTGAGTAGACTTTATCCAACATATCAAGCTTAAAAAGTAAAAAATTTCAGGAAAATAGAACAAAAGACCAAAGGAAAAAATCTTGTCAACATCAAGTTACGTATTCCGTAGCTCGTAATGTTGCGACCAAAGATGCAGTCATTATGCTCTTTACACAAAATATTGAGCTCAAAGGGCTCAAAAATTGAAACTGTTTCCACCCAAGCAGGGGAGAATGGTGAACTTTGCAACGTCGAAAGCACGATGAAAAGGATTTTCGGAAGAAATGTCGCTAAGAAGAAAGTGTTATTAAAGGGATAATCTACAACGGGAGTCACTTTTTATTACCAAAATCCAGAGAGCCCAAAACCAGATTACTTTTTCTTTGCGTGAATTAAACATGAAATTGAACGGTTCTTATACATACACACTATCAATCGGAACAGTTCGAGTTTTAAGCCTTTTTTGCTGAATCTTAACTAGTCAAATTTGCCACAGTAGATTGCTTTACTACGTAAAATATGCGCGTTTTGCTGCGATCACATCTTCAATGCGAATTTTTAAACCAGTTTTCAAACCGTTTGCAAAAATCAGATTTTAGTGTGAGTGAGTCTTCTAGGGTGTGAAAGTTTCAAGTTGCTACCTGCTTTAAATGGGAAGTTAGGAATTTTTAAAGGAAAGCGTGCAGTTGCGTAAAAGTGCGAATTTTCCGTCGCCCTTAATAGTGCAAAGTGAAGCATTCACAAATCATGGCATATTTTGCGAATGGTATAAAGTATATGGATTATGGTGGATCTGCTAAAAATTGTGCAGCCTCTCACAATATATCAAGCTAAAAAAGTTTTCACATTTCATCACAATTAATTAGGATTCAAAAGTCGCTCCATGAACGGCGATTTTTGTTTATCTTTTTTTACACAAGAAAGCAACTTTGTTTACGCTAAATATACAAACCTGTTCGATTGCGGACATCGAACAGCATAGCACTACAATGAGTCACCCAAAGGGCCAGCGAGCAAAACGATTATATCATTATCTAAGTTCTGTGCCTCGGTGCGTTTTTGTATATGATAAACACCTTAATTTCGCACGCGATTTATCGGAAAGCTGAACATTTAGATCAGTCTATTATGGGCAAGGGAATAAATCGGTCGTCGGTTCTTTGTTCATAAACGGGATCAAAGTATTAATTTAGTGCCATTTAGGCACGAACGGTCGACGATCTTACCTGTTAATTGCTGAGTGTAATCGACATTTATTTTCAACTTTGTGTGGATTCTCATTGTGTGTGCTTTTTGATGTTTAATGGATAGACAATGGAAAATCGGGCTCCAATTTGTAAAAAGCAGGTAAGCAGGATTATTAATCTATAAACCCTTAACTTGAACTGAGTTAAGTTTTTGAGAAACATTTAAAGTTTTATTCAGCTTCCTATTTATTTTTCTTTCCAATCAAATCACTGGGCTTTCGACCAAGTTTATGTAATAAAACAGATTTTTCTTTTTTCCCAGGTGGTATAATGCAGCTTCCGGTAAGTTTAGCATTACTTTTACCGTGAGTGATCCTGGCCAACCCACTTAGATTTTGTGCTGTTTTTCCAAAAAATGCATTCTTTAGCCAGCATACATACATGTAGTGCATAATGCATAAGTATGCATTTCGCAGAGGTGATTAAATCACCTGTTTGTTAAATATTTGAGCAAATTATTTTTGGCTAAACGATTTGTATATTGTACGATAGCACGTTAAAACGTTGCGTGTGATCCTGGCCAAACCATTAAGATTTCGGGCTGTTTTTT